TCGCCGTGTCCCAGAGCCGCACTGTGTGATCCGAGGAGCCAGACGCTAGCACCTGGCCGTCGGGCGAGAAAGCCACTGAGTGAACCGAGTCCGAATGGCCCTCGAAAATCTGTTGCAGGCAGCCCGTCGCCGTGTCCCAGAGCCGTACTGTGTGATCATCGGAGCCAGACGCCAGCAGGTGGCCGTCAGGCGAGAAGGCCACCGAGGAAACCGAGTGCGAATGGCCCTCGAGGGCCAGTAATTCTCGACTCCATCTTTCGTCAACTCGTGGGAACAGAGATATCCAATTAGGAAGGTCTAATTTGAACTGTGTACGAATCATTGCCGTTCGAGGTGCAAATACCAATCCTGCACCGTAAATCTGAAGTGGTGCTCCATCGACTATCTGGCGATTTTTCAGAACAAAGCGTTTTGCATCATGCAGAAAGTCAGCTAATGCGGGATCATCATCGCGCTACATCTATTAGTATGAATAAGGAACGGCTGCCTCCTATATTACTCACTGGTATAACCCTGGCGAGGAGATTCAGCATACCCACTACCTCAGACAAATAGCCCAGCAGACTCATCGCTTCCATCCAATGCAAAAAATGCTTATAGAGGAAAAGTAGGACTTCTTCTATCTCGGAAGATAAAGCCTGACCTTTTTCAAGATGGTACATCCAGTAGCGACAAGAGTATTGTAACTCAGGTGGTAGATACTGCCGAATAAGCTGATGGTCGATGTCTGCCCTACGCGTTCCAGGGCGTACTAGATTGCAGATATCTCTATGTAGACGACATCGCATAGTTTGCAGGCTGAACTTAGCAATATCTTTGTGCTTTCTTGGCTCATCCACGGAGAACTCGCTTCTAGACCGGACCAAAAAATCTCGAAATGATAGATGTAGAATCCTAATAGGCTGATCTTGGTTATCGGGAATGTTCAGAACTGATCGGAAGGAATTTAGTCGATTGCTGATCTGCTCGGCTCCTATACCAAGCAAAGCGGACAGCGCATTCATTGAAAGTGGAGTAGCAAGAAGGATGACGACACCGACTATATCCTGGAACTCTCGCAGGAGCTGCTGCTGCTCCAACTCATCATTTTCCTGGTCGTTAAGTAGTTGCGTCAAAATTGGCCGGTACGTCTTATCCATTTTCGAAGCATATTTCCCTTGGTTCTCTAGGAGTTCTGCGAGGCGCAATTTAGGTTCCCATGATAAATTTTCGATATAAAGGCACACAGTCGCAGCCGCAATAAACAGAGGATTAGACATCATGACTAAATTCTGGATTACGTCATCGCCTGGCCAGTCACCGGAAATATTTCTGTCGCGTGTGATCTTCGTAAATCGGTGTTGTAAAAATAAACGTATGTCACGCTCTGTCACTTCTTCAGGTATGTCATGAAGAGCTAAGTCTTTATATTCATGATCCCCGATGTCCGAAAAGCCGAGGCTGATTGGGAGCTCAGGCCTGCAAGTCAAGAAGATTCGAAGGCGAACCGCCTTTGCCTTCTGTAGAAGTGGTAGTAAACGTATTATAAGCCGGATATCTTGAACATGTTCACATTCATCCAAAGCGTCAATCACCATCACAGTGGTTTGAGGTTGGGAACCGGCTTGATCAAGGTTGAGTAGCGGTTGAAGCAGTAGTTTCTCAAACTGCTCCTTGAGGGATTTTGAAGTAATGTCAGGATCATCGTGGAGTGCTTTTTGCACACAAGACTTCAGCCCAGAGATTCTGAGTATCAATTGCCATGTTATTGTCTGGAAAAACTTCTTCGCGTTGCCTTGATCCCCTTCACCCCTCTTGAAGAAGAAGCTGGCACCTAGATGATTGGTGCCCTTGAGCGAACTTGCCACAGTCCGAGATATGGTAGATTTTCCTGTCCCGGCCATTCCTTTCAACCAGAAGATAGACTTTCCGTGCCGTGACTCAACCCATTCTCTAATCTCGTTGAGAAGCCCGGTTCTAGTGCCTGGAAGACACTCATCCTCATGTTGGTTCGCAAAGGAGTCAATTGCTGCATCTTGAACGGTCGACAACTTGCCCAATTCAATGTTTTGGTCCATAGATTCGATTGTCGACAAGGCAGTTCTATTGAAAAATAGTGAGAGTGCATTCGGTCATATGCGACAGATAAATTTCAAACCTCTGGTTGTTACTGAGATTAGTCAGCTCCTGAGTAACTGTAGACCGTTAGGACACTGCCCTGATAAGGTATAGGAGTCGATGGTAAATTATAACGTATTGTTATTATAACACCATGTCATTGAAATGTCATATGATAAAATTAGGAGTGGATGTTCTAACTTTGTTGAAGTTCCTGAGTTACTCGCTCGGCCCAAGGAAGCATGGTATTGACACGTTGTGGCCGCAAAACCAGGAGGAGCTCTCGTGCATACGCGGCAGCAGCGAGCGCAGCATACTTATGCCAGTCGTCATTCTTGTGACAGTCACAGTAGTCGCAAATTCCGCGGATTATCAGACATGGAACGTTATTCATCAGACCGGCGGCTTCCATCTCAAAGCACAAAATGTTCAATTCAGGGTCGTTCGCATATGTATCCCGCACAATAGCGTCCTTGAGCACAGAATTTCCTGACGCAATAGTCCCGTAATGAATGAAGAGGGAACGATGGCTCCGGCGTTCGGGGCGGTCCACTACCGAATGAGAGTCACAGCCGTTGCAATTTTGTCCATCCGTATGTGGATATTCTGAGGCATAAAGCAGGTCCACGGCTGGTCGTTGATAGTCTTCCATATCATCAAGACGCTGGAGATGTTCTGCTAGTCTGTCTGGCTTCTTTTTATCACTGTACAGTCTGCGCATCTCTGGAATAACTCCTAGAAGCTTCTCGGGAGGCGCATTTAGTTGGCCTGTCTTCTGGAACCGACCGTTTTTCAACTTGCCCAGATCATATTGTATCACCCCACCGAACCCGTCTTTTGGTTGACTCACGACAACATCCCCTAATCGGATGTCGTTTTGAATAGTTGGTGCGCCGCCTCCAATACCCACCATTAATGCAAACCGAAGGTGTGGAAAGGTCCGGACCATATCTCGGGCAACACGGGCAGCTGAATTGGTGCCATACCGACCGGCTGGAAGACAACCGATCACCACATAATGCTTCGCGATACGACCAAAGACGTATGTGTTATCATCGTTATCTTCGCTTATTTCCGGCCCGTTGAATTCTTCGTCAAGCATACGGCATGCACAGAAGTACTCTTCTTCTAGGGCACAGATCCATGCTACCGTGTAGGAGTCCGTTGAATCTGGGTCTCGTTGCTCAGGTTGATTCATTGGATCAGCAGAGGAAGGAGCAGCTTTGTTCACGTTGTCGGTTGTTCTCGATACTTTTTTTAGAAAATTTGCAGGCTGAATCAAGTTCAATTCGTCGCAAGATAGATGGGAGGAGTGTGAGATGGATGTAGAGACAGAAGATGTTTCTGTTTGAGGGGAAAGAGGGGCAGGCACCAAAACGGGTGAGGCTGTGTGAGGACGCGTTGTTATTGGTGCTCGAAACCAGCTGATCATTTCGTAATATGCTGCCCAACTCCGTACTCCGTAGTTAACTAGGCAATTCGCTATCAATAAATTTGGCGTTCATTGACTTTACCTGAACGAGCCATAAAAGCCAAAATCCTACGATAAATGAGGGACTTTTACCTTGGGCCGCTAAAACTTCAGGTTCATGTCACCAGTTGCTTAAGGCTCCGACTGTGTAATGGTTGGGCTTTTCTGTCGAAATAAAGAATGGTAAGTTGTCGGCTCGACCCTAGCGTTTGGCGGTGGGCCTGGAATCAAGAGAAGAATATGCAGAGTAACGATCGTATCCGTGTTTCTGGAAAGTTACAACCCCACCGCCTGTGTAATTTATTGTTACAATACGTCCCGAAAGTTCGTAACAGACTAAATCTAAGATAGACTAGCGTGTTTCAGAATAGAGTTTACGAAAGAAAAGAAGAGAGTACAAAAGTGAAACTGATTTCGAGCGCACCTGTAATAGAATCCGATTAGGTTCAATCTCGTTGAAAACCTCGTTGAAAACCTCAATCTTTCGTGAAATTACCCTATTTAAAGAAAATTACTAATATTACCCTACTTATAAACGTCCTCTAGTCACCGTATAAATTATAGGTGACGTATTTACTACGATTTAAGAACGATAGTTTATAATTAAGTGGCCCTACGAAGTATAGAAGACCTAGAGCGTAGGCCTTGACAAGTGCAGCTGCACCTCGAGAAATTTAGTGCAATTGCTCGGTGCTGTGGGGTGCAGCGGTACCTTGAGAAATTTGGTGCAATTGCCCGGTGTAGCGAACGATGGTACAGCTGCACCTCTTGGCGGTGTAACCAGGTGCTGCCAAGGCCATATTTTGCCAAGAAATTACCCCATTCGGCTTTGATACTACCGATCTGGTAAGCAACTAACATACCGTTCTTTACTAGTGTATTTGTATCGTCGCTAGCTATTCTACTTAGCTTAGGGATACCGATTTAGCGAGTATCCCGCTACTTCCTCTACTATTCTACATTTCGATAGGCGGTGTGCCTTATAGCGTTGTTCGTTTCTGCTAAAGTAGTATTATTCGTTTCTACCAAATAAAACGGCTTTAAAATGGCTTATAAAAGGCTTCTTATATTAACCCAGCCTCCCTTCGTGCGAAGAAGGAATTCTGGCTAAATGTAGACTTCTCTAGACCTTGACATTTCCCATGGTGGGACTAGACGCCCCGTGGGAGTCCCATGGGAAATATGGGAATTCCCATGGGACTACAAACAATGCAAACAGGGAGAAACTCGTGACTTGCATAATTGTACGGCTTTATGCTGGTTTTTTTAGGTATTGGTTTAGTGGTTATGGCGATGTCTGGGCGACACCAAACGCCTACCAAGTTTATAAACACGGTCAGAGCACGGTCAGAAAACGTGATAAAATAAAGCTTTAAGCATATAAGTAATTTCTGGCTAGTTAGAAATAGTGGCGGGCGAATGGAGCTCT